CCGACTGAGCCTGTGAGCCTGGTTGTTCGGGGGAGGGGACATTACAGAAGAGATTTCAGGAAGAAAGGAACCCATCGCGCCCATACTGTATGGAGTGAGTCCAGCCACACAATACAGCATTGGATCCTTGTGCGTGAAGTTGTGAATGAAGTGTTAATGAGCTAAAGAGAACTATAGGTTGGTGACACGTTTACAGAAGTATCATGAAATCGTGAGGGCCTTGGGGTCAGTCTCCCACCTTCAGCCCACTGTGGAACGGAGCTGCTCTGTAGCAGCCTGTGGTCACGTGGATGTACCAAGACCTGGTGTCGGCGGACAGAGTTACTGTCCTGGGACCCACTGTGTGAGTGGCAGCAGGAATCTTAATCCTTTGAGCAGAGTAGACTATGACGGAGAGTAGCAAAGTTTCTTGGGAGAAGGATTTGTTTTCAGTTTTTCAGTCACTAATTTTTTTATAAAGACGCCACATTACACTGTCCAAAGAAATAACCTCTGGTTACTGCTTGTCCCTTTAGATTTGGTACCTGGAAATAGCCACTGTGTTCTCAGCCTCTTGACCACTCACAGACACGCGCGCGCACAGCCCTCGTCAGGTTTCCCATCCTGCTCTGAGCCGATGCTGCCCGACTGTATCGTGTGTCTCTCCTCGACAGTATTTTGTACCATTCTCTTTCTCTTCTCCATGAGTTGGTCTGAAAATTGTTTTATACATCCCTTTTGGAAGGTTCTTTTATTTCCTGCATTGTATGCTCATTAAGTGTTTGTTGCTGACTGACCATGGTCCCTAACCACCCTTTTGGAATAATGAAGACTGAGTGGAAGAGTGTATAGCATACGTCTCTCATCGTTCACTTTCTTATTCTTTTACTTTTCCTTTCTGTTTGCAGTCAGATGCTCGTCCTGTTATTCTTGCTGTCCTGTGTCCTTTGAAACAAGAGAAAAGAATGGGTTGTTTTCTTCCCCCACTTGTCCCTCTGAACACTTGGCAGGTTGCGCTAAGGAACCGTTACTACCACTTCCCATTTTGTCCTTGACGCTGACCATGAAAACAGGTTCACGAAAGAAGATTGACGTGTTCAGTCGTATCCTTGAGGGAACTTGAAGGATGACTGACCACCATGGGGTTTGATAGGGCCTCAGACTGTTGGAAGGCCAAGAGGGCAACAGGGTTCCAGGCCTATAAAACGTCTTCAGAGAAGAAAGGTGGTTGTGCGTGTCGGTTTGTTAATTGTGTCTGGAATATCTTTAGGACAAGTTAGTAAGCTGACTGCATGTCAGTTTACATATGAAGGTGGATACAGAGGGGTAGACCTGTTACTTGGTTGAGGTTTTGGGTTTTTTTGTTTTGTTTTAAGCCGTGCACTGCTTTCCAACCCTCGCTTCATGTCTCTTATTTTCAGTCATAGGTATTAAAATACCTATCTGCCTGGCAGGGGTATTGTGATAATTCCATTTAATATATATTGAGATGCTTAGTGCACTGCCTAGCATGAAACCAGGGTTTCCTTAAAAAATATAGGTTTGCATCAGAATTAATATTATAAGAATTAGAAATTGTTTAATGTGTTTGTCCTCCCACTAAAATTTAGATACCCCTTGCTTTCATCTAATGTTCTCTTCTGGGACTACCTGCTTACCTCTGTCCCACAGCACAATATCAGGAGACTTGTTTTTTAAGATAGATAGATTTGAGGAGAGAAGAGGTCATTTAACAGGTAAACCGTATTATTGCCGCTTCTTAATTTCTTATGATTATAATTTGTAATCTCGTATACTAGTAAGTCAAGACCACTGTCTTTTTAAATTTCAAATTTGACATTAAAATTTAAAGTTGATATTAAAAGATTACTTTTCATATTTCTAAAATATGTATTCTGCATGATATATAGTAAAACTTAACAGTTAACATTTGAATTGGAAATCCATTAAATTGGTATGAAATTTGAGGCTTATTTATATCAAAGGAAAATTAAAATACTGTTTTTGTTTACAACTAGTGTTTTAGTAAAAGTTAATGCTACTTAGAGCTCCCATTCCTTTCATACAGAATATCATTTTCATTTTGACTCAATATTGTTAAATAGAATCCTTTATTATAAATTTTAGGTGTAGTATGCTTTTTGTATTTAATAAGAAAATCTGTGACGCATTCCAATTTGTTCCACTAGAGGGCCCTCTTAGAGAAGGTTTTCCTCGTTCAATGTCCTTACACACCTTTCAGGACCATTGAACTTTCTCAGAATTTCTGAGAAAAGATGATACTTATTCTTTCAGAATATGTACCCACAGAGTAGTCCTTTTTGAGATGTTGGTGGGGCATAGTTTGCAAATTTGCCTTTTTCTCCCTTTAGGTCTCCCACAGATGAAAAGTTTCTGTTGTCCATTACCTGTTTAAAGGCTAGACTCTAAGCAGAATTGTTAATAAAGCCTTTTTTACTAGTCTGACTTTACAACATTATCTTGGATCATGGTTTGCTGCTGCTTCCTGCTCTTTACCTACCCTCCCCACCCCGAGCAGAGAAACTCAGCAAGAATTATGGTTCGGATCTGTGGTGGGGGCCGGTGGGGGGTGTTGCGCACGTACCCAGTGAAGAGTTATGTCACAAACATGTACGTAAAGAATGGTTTTCTCTGATAAATACTTAATTAAACCTCTGCCACTCAGTGGAAGGCAACTGTTGGATGAGGTTTTGTCCTCCCAACTCCAGAGGCCCACATGGTCACCTCTGGTATTTCTTTGCTGTAATATTTTAGTGCTTTGTTTTGGCAAGGCCCAGAGGAGTATGGAGCGGGAATGGAAGACTCTAGCAGTTTCTCTCTGGCCCCCGTTGACAGCTGCCTCAGTGTGCTTGGCCCTGAGAGCAAAGCAGGTGTGGCAGGGAGTCTTCAACGTTTTCCTTCATGTGTCTCAGGTTCAGGGAACTGTCCTGACACGTGATTCGGATCGGGCCGGCTTTGTATCTGCAGTTCAGTCCAGGAAGTATTCCTTTGACTTTTGTCTTGGGTTAGCTCATTTGCTGTGAAACTTGTATACATCAAAATCACCCGAGGACCTTGTTAATAATATACATGTCCGGGTCTCTGCCCGGAGAGCTCTTAATACATCTGCCATGTCGCTGGGCACCGGTACTGATTGATAGTATTTACCATTTCCCTTGCACACCCCTTTGGTATTTTTTTGTGCAGACTGAAGTGGGAGGTTTCATGGGAAGAGCAAGCCAGAACTGGTTTCTTAGGAACCTGTTCACTTGGTATTTTCGTAACCTTGAGCAAGTTTCCTAAGATCTCTGAGCCACGTGTAAGAAAGATAATACATACTCAAAGATTATAATGAGGATTAGATTAATTAACATACAAGGTAGTGGTTATAACAAGCTTGGCCCCCAGAAGGCATTCCATGATGCCCTCCTCATTACCCATGAAACTTGCCATCGGGCTCTTGTCTACCTTTATCACTGATTTTTTCCAATCTTCCCTCTCCTCCAACTACGGTAGATTTCTTGTCCCCTAACTAAGCCTCTAAGCAGGCTTCCCTGACTTTACATTTGTAATCAGCTGTCCTGGGACTGCATTCTGCTACTTCCTCTTTCGTAATTGCTCACCTGTTCTTGAAAACCATTCCCCTGTCCTGGCTTCTGTGACCACTCTGGCCTTCTTTCCTGTTTGCCTCCCCCACCTCCGACCCCTGCCCCACACCTCTGACTTTGCTTTTCTCTATCCAGCTCTGTCCGAGGGGCATGGTGCTATAGTGAAAAGAGCATGAGTTCTAGAAGCAGGCGTGGATGTGAATCCTGACAGCCTGCAACTAAGTGTGTGAGTTTGGACGAGATGCTTCGGTTCTTTTCTTAACGTGCAAAATGGGGAATAATATCATTGTACAGTACTGTGAAAAGGGAATCATGTGTGAAGCACACAGTACATAGCTTTCAATGAACAGTAGAGCTGTTTCTCTAATGATGATAATTTTGTGTGTCTTTCTCCTTTTTCACCTTTCTGTGTTCAGTGCATAATAAAATTCTGACATTTAATGGATTCTCAGTAATTATCTGGTGAAGGAATGAATGGGTCCATGAATAAATGATAACTTTATGAAAGGCACTAGAACAACTACCAAACACTATTTAAAGGTTCTCTTCACATTCATGTGCTCAGTTTTCAGATGGGAAGCCTATGTACTATGTGTTTCAAATTGTATTAGAATATAATTATATATAGCTAAGTTAAACTTTTCAGAAAAAAGCAAATTTAAATTTGAAAGCTCAGGGGGGCGCCTGGGTGACTCAGTGGGATAAGCATCTGCCCCCGGCTCAGGTCATGATCCTGGGATCCTGGGGTCTCAGTGGTGAGTCTGCTTCTCCGTCTTCCTGTGTGTGTGTGCTTGCTCTCTTTCTCTCTCTCCCCCCCTCACATAAATCTTTAAAAAATTAAAAAAAAAAATTTCAGAGCTCTTAAGGATTAATGTCATATGATGTGCTGATAATATTTCAAAGTGTAAGTTCAAATTTAAACTTTCTAATCTTGGTCATGACTTTTGAGGTATGGCTTTTAGATGATTTGCTTCTTAAAATTCAGTTGTTGATGTACAGGCATACCTCATTCTATTACTCTTCACTTTACTGTCCTTAAGATCTGGTATAATATTCCATTATTATATCTGTTATGGGGACCTGTGATCTGTGAGTGGCTTTACTGAAAACTCACATGGTGGTGGTTAGCATTTTTTAGCAGTGAAGTATTTTTTAGTGAGGTGTATACTTTTTTTTTAAGACCTAATGCCATTGCACACCTACTAGACTACAGTGTAGTAAATGTAACCTTCACACCCACCAGGAAACTAAAACATTCACTGGACATGCTTTACGGTGATGGCGACTTTATTGAGGTGCCCTGGGACTGAATCCGCAGGGTCCCCAAAGTACGCCTCTAATGTGGTTTAATGACGTGGTCCTCTGATAGAGCGGTAACCTACAAATTATCAAAACAACTTCTTCTTGCAACAGCAACATTTCATCGAGCTGGATGAGAGTCGGCAGAGGCTGCTGCAGAAATGCAAGGAGCTGATGAAGAGAGCGAGGCAAGTATGCAACCTGGGTGCGGAGCAGACGGTTCCTCAAGAATACCAGACAGTAAGTGTCCCAAGTGTATAAGGCTGCAGGGTCACGTGCTGCTGCGTTCTCTGTCAGCTTCAGGGTGCTAGGCGTTGTACGGCCCTGAGAAACCGAATGTGCTGAAAGCAAAGCGGATTTCCCCCGGTTTTTTTAAACGGAGTTTGTATGTGAAGTAATTGTGCTTAATGGATTTTCTTTACTGGATTCAAACTCGGGCATCCATCAGGCCTGGCTTAGTCCTAACGCGACTGAAGCACAGGCAGTCCCTTACCCAGTTATCAGTTCCAGAATGTTCATTCTTCCCGTAAAAGGCTTTTTTCCCCAACTTACCTTTAAGAGGTAGGGTCAAGCGGGGTTTGGTGTTTTTATGGAAACCTACCATTGGCGATTGGTGTAGAAGGTTGGTAAACAGAAGTGATATTTTTTAAAAAAGGCAAAGTGAAAATGCCTTTCTGGAAATTAGGGTGTTTATTTAGGGTTTGACGAGACCCAGATCTTTGGGGCTAACATCTGTTGGTAAGAAAAGGAGAAAAGAGGCTTTCCTCCTTTCCATTTTCTGTGCTGACATTCTGTGTGGTTAGTAAAAGGAGATGCTGCCTTATTATGTGGCCCTATGACCCTAAGTGTTAGTAGGGATTGTACCTTGCCTAACATACCACCTCTGAATGTCAAAAGAAGACACTAGAAAATGAATTTTTAGAGGAAGTATTTTATCTTAATTTCAATAGATAATAAGATGTGTACTCCCCTATTTCAGTAGTTAATGTCTAATCTCTTTCAATAGCTAATGATATGTCTGAAAAAAAAGTTTGGATTAAATTTTCAAATCCTCAAAGATCTTACTCTATTATATCAGACACAGATAGCCCGGAGAGTGGTTCTATTTTCGGTACCTAGTAGGGATTTAGTAGGAACATATATAAGACAAATCGAGTGGCTCTTATTTCTAAAAATATATTAAACTTCTCCCAAGTACATGGAATTGTCATAAAATAAATAATAGTACAATATCTGTAGTATTTTTTTCTTTCAGAGAATAATATGGTTCTATCCTTGATAAGTTGTATTGTTTTTGAAAAAAAACAAAATTAGAAGATAATTCATATATTATGAATGTTCAGGCATTGAACAAGACAGATACTTCTCTACTAAAGTTTATATTCTAGTCTGGAGGGAGGGGCAGATAAATTAAAAAACAGAGACAATGTCCTCTTATCAAGAGGTGCTAAGAAGAAAAAACAAGGTAAGAGGATAGTGCCAGGGAAGGCTCCTTTGAGAAGATACTATTATGGAGGATTCCTGAATGGAGAGAAGAAATTAGTCAAGTGAGAGTTTGAAGGAAAAGTTTTCCAGGCAGAGCTAATCGCTGCATACAGAGCCCCGGGGGCGGAAGTACACATGGCATGTCTCACGTGAAGGAAGAAATACTCAGTCCGGCCCAGACAGGATCATCCAGGCACGAAGGACGGTGGAAATCAGAGCATGCAGGGTCTCGTGGGAGGAGCGTAGGTTGTATGTGGAGACAGACCCCACTGGAAGATTGTCAAGAGGAGTGATGGGACTGGCTGGAGCGTGTAAAACACTCTGACTGCCCGGTGGGGAATCCAGCAGGGACGTAAGAATGAAAGCAAGGAGACCCTTGAGAACATGATCGCTTTGGACCAGGCCGGAGAGATGAGGGGCCTGAAGCAGTACTGGAGGGGGAAGTTTGCCAATATGAGGATCTTTTTGAGACGGTCAGCAGGACTGGCTAACGGATTAGAGGGAAGGGGCGAAAGCGGGAACCAGCCCCTGTGTTCTGCCATGGACTGAGACGAAGAAGATTGAAGGAGAAATAGATTGGCTCAAAGTGGTGGGGAGGGTAGGTGACACGAAGATTTCTCTTGGACCATCTTCAACGGAAGACGCATATTGGGGATTCACTGAAGATGCCGAGAAGATGTTCAAGCACAGGGCGAGCTCAGTGGACAAGTCAGTCAGCAACGGACACTTCGTATCTGAGAGCCTGTGGAAGTTGAACTGCTTTCTGAACAGATGGAAGACAACGATTAAAATGTTCGATTCGTGTCGTATTTCAGGATCTTTTTCAGAGTTTCAAGATTGATTTTGTACCTCGTGTTGTATTAACTATGCAGGTTGTGCCGGCAAATCCGTGTACCGCTTTCCTCCCAGATAAAAAGGTGTCTGTTCTGACTTGGTTCTAGGACCTGGACTCAGAAGGTAGTACGGCTGACCCTCGAACAACACGGGTTTGAACTGCATTGTGAATTTTTTCTTTCAACAAAGACAGTACTATCAATATATTTTTTTATGTTTTCCTTGGTAACATTTCCTTTTCTCCAGCTTACTGTATGAGTACAGTATATAAAATACGTAACATACAAAATAGGTGTTACCTCACTGCTGCTGTTCTCGGGAAGGCTTCCAGTCAGCAGTAGCTATCGGTAGCTACGTATTTGGGGAGTCAAAAGTTAGTTATACATGCATTTTTGATGACACAGTGGGGCTCAGTCCCCCTAATCCTGTTGTTTGAGGGTCAGCTGTGCTACAGCGAAATTCCGTCAAAGTAATTGGATTCTTAAGATGCTTTTGTCATTCTTCGTAAGTACAGTATAAAGTTCTAACTTCTTGCTCTCTTTCAATGCCCCACATATTCTGGACCCATTCTACCAATTCAGCAAGTACCCACCATTCCAAATGGACACAACTCCTCACCCCCCATGGTATGCAGCGCTTTCTTTTTTCCAAGCTCCTGTTTCCCCTCTGCCTTGCTTTCCCTCTGCTTCTTGCTTGAAGGCCCAGAGACTTCTGGGAAAGTGAGGCCCCTCAATTCTCTTAACTCTCTGTAGCTCCTCTAGCATGAACTGGTATTTCCCTTCTGTAAATCCCATAGCCTGTAGGGTAGAACTGCTTACTTTAATACTCAACACCAATACTCAGTCTTAAGGTGTTTTCCAGTGTTACTAAGTGTAAGCTTTTTGAAGGCAAAAAATCCCTGTTTAATTCCTTTGATTCCTTGTGTGCTAGCATGCTGTTGAACACGTAGTACTTACTCAGCAGAATATTTAACTGTTCAAGTTAAACTGCTTTTGCTAGACTATTTGTAATTACAGACCATTTTTTTCTTCTTTAGGCTTTCCAGGATCTTCCAAACACATTGGATGAAATTGATGCTTTGTTAACTGAAGAAAGATCAAGAGCCTCTTGTTTCACGGGACTGAATCCTACAGTAGGCCTCTTTTCTTACTGCCTGACTCAAGCACAGCCACCCCCTCCCCATGCACACCGCGCACGCGCGCACCCTTCCCTCCAGTACTCGCCTCCCACTCTGTACTAGAGCTCTTGGTAATAATAAGCCAGACAGCAGGAACAATGTGCTTTAAATGCCAGATTCTGAATCTATTAGAATTTTAAATAGACTCTTCCTAAGGAACACACTGTTCTGTGCCTTTCCTTTATAAAAAGAATCGTTGGGCTAACCTGAAATACTGCAGTGTATTTTTTTCAAGGATAAAAAACCTGTTCAGTAGAAGAACATAAATTAATGGCATACAAACAATGCAACACAATTGGCATTTTCTGCTAGTGCTTTAATTGATGCAAAATTTCCCGTGATGTTATCCTTTGGTAGGTTTATCTTAAATGATTTTTTTCCCTGCCAGGTCGTTCAAGAATACACAAAAAGAGAAGAAGAAATAGAGCAATTAACTGAGGAACTAAAGATAAAGAAAGTTGAACTGGAGAAATACAGGGAAAGCATTTCACAGGTAATTATTTAACCTTTACCTTTTCTTTCTATCACATGTTTATCGTGTATCGTATGGGAGTGTGGAATAATGCAACCAGAAACGACATGCTTCTGAGAACAGATGCAGTGTGTGTGTTCTCATGACTAGATTGGTACTGAAATGGTTTTGTGGACAATCTTCTGTCAATGCAGTAAGCCTTTAAATTGTGCTTTTATATTGAATTGATTTGCAGGTAAAAGAAAGGTGGCTTAATCCTTTAAAGGAGCTCGTAGAAAAAATTAATGAAAAATTCAGCAATTTTTTCAGTTCCATGCAGTGTGCTGGTGAAGTTGATCTACATACAGAAAACGAGGTAATGCTGCCTTTGAAATGTTTCCTGCCAAGTAATTTTAATTAGATGCTAAAAGTATGGACCAATTGCTTATTCTTAAGTTATACCTGTGAAAACTATGCTTACTAAAAAATTGTCCAGAGGAAGGAAAACACCACCTCTAGGAGCCCATCACTTTTTGGGGGTGGCGGGGCATTTGAGACAAGTCACTAATGCTTTACTAAAACTATAGATAGGTAATGGTTATTCAGCTGTGAATGATTTGCTTTATACATCTACCACTGTCCACAGCAGAAGAGTCCTAAAGAGATTGGTAAACGTAACTGAAATACAGGATCAGTGGTTTCCTTTTTTAATCAAGATTTCAAGAGTACCCAGGAATGAAAATATTTGGAAATTTGTTAGTAATTCCTTGAGCTGTAAGTTAATGCATTGCAAATGGTAGGTAAAATAATTTCCATTCAGAAATGTGTAAAGTGACGAACCTGGGATTTGCTTTAAAGTCACTGAAGATGAGAGGGTAGAGCGAGAGCTGAAGCAGGAGTGGTCCTGTGTTGCGTGCAGTTGAGGCTGGTTGGTGATACACTGAGCTTTAGTGTTCTCTCTAGTCTTGGGTATGTCAAAAAATTTCCCCACTAAGTTTTTTTTCCCCTTAGGACAGAAATGAAGACAATAAAAGGTCCTTTTCCTTCACAGCTTAACATCTTTGTATTTCATCTTGTATGCAAATCTGCATGTACGATACGTGCGTGGGCAGAGAGCAGGGTAGTGCCTCAGGAGCCCTGCCCCACGACTGCTTCCCTGGCTGATGAATGGCCCACAGTATCTCACTTGCCAGTTCTGGTGAGATGGGAGATTCTGCCCCAGCGACGTCGTCTGCTGTCCTGGGGCTCTTACGGTGAAGGGACAGAGTGTAGTAACAAGTATCTTTTCCAGTGAACAGCCCACGTGCCAGGCCCTGTGCCGCAGCACTTGAAAGCACGTTAGCGCCTTCCAGCCTCTCAGTTACTGTATAAAGCAGGTCTTCAGCCAACTCTTCCTTACGATTAAACTCAAAGTGTCAAGGAACGAGTCGTTACCCACAAGCCTTGAGGGATCTTCAAGGGTCTCTTCAGCCAAAATTCCTTTCACTAAATTTAAACCGTTTTCTTCTTATCATGGATTTATCCAGTCTGTTTTCAAATAGAAGTAGCCAATTGCTGGAGCAAACCGTCACCTGTCAGCGCTGTCCCGTTTTACAGGAGGACTACGATAAATACGGAATTCGAATCCGGGTCAAGTTCCGCAGCAGCACACAGCTGCACGAGCTGACGCCGCACCACCAGAGCGGCGGCGAGAGGAGCGTCTCCACCATGTTGTACCTGATGGCACTGCAGGAGCTGAATCGGTGCCCGTTCAGGGTCGTCGATGAAATCAATCAGGTGTGGTGCTTTTCCTTTTCCTTGGGCTTTCTTGCAGCTTATAACCGACTTCACTGTATTCACTGTGATTGTCATTGTTTAGGGAATGGACCCGATCAATGAGCGGAGGGTGTTTGAAATGGTTGTAAATACTGCTTGTAAAGAAAATACATCTCAGTACTTCTTTATTACACCAAAGGTAGGTAATAAGTCATCTACGAGTGCTCATTGCACTCCAGAGTCCCCGGCGGCCTCATCATGGAGCAGACGATGGCCCGATAGATCAGTATGCGCAGAAACACTCCCAAAGAAGGACTAACAAGATTACAGTATTATTTAGATAAAGGGGACAAGTGCCAGTGCCATACTCAATCAGAAACCTTATTATCGGAAGAAGAAATGTAAGAGGCATAGAATTATGTTCTGGAACCAGGATTTCCTCCCTGCTTTTGGCACTTAACTCTTCATTGTAGAGAAGTTCCTCTTTTAGCACTTTTTACAAGAGGCAAGAGAACATAAACCCTAGGGGTCTGGTGCTCCTCATTTGTCTGGGACAGCACGGCCCGGGCGCAGGAGAACTCTTAAGTTACTCCGACCTCACCTCTCCTCAAATTAACTTCGATAAAAACAGAATTATCTTTACAGAGAATTTTCCATTCTAGAGCTAGAACCATTACAGCAGGAAATATTCTTTTGTGACATCTTATGTTGTGGCTAAGGTGTAAGACCAATATACTCAAAGACGTGTTTATTAATATTATCAGATTTTCTTAAACCAAGTAGGCATGAAAAATTTCATTGGAGAGCCCATCAAATGCACATTTTTATTGAATGGTATCCTCTGTCTTCTTTGTCCAGCAGATACCCTCGGGAAGAGCCAGATCTGTTAATACTGTAGTGTTTACCAAACCCCCTGGCCTCGAAGCCCTCCCTCTGGCACACACCTTGCAGGCTGCCAGTCTTTCCCCGACCCTTCGAGTTGCCCGCGAACTGTTTGTGGGTACAAGAAGTATGAATCCTCAGAAAATTCTGAAGGACATACTTCCAGGGTCAGCCTCGGAGCTTGTAGGATCTTATTGGCCTGGGAATGCTGACCAGGCCCTGGCTGAGGACCCTTCAGGCCAGGCGTCAGGTGCGGCGGCCCAAGCGGGGGCCACTGTGGGGGGCTGTGTGTGTGGCATTGCCAGCCCCCTAAGTGTGTCATTAGTGTTAGAAATCGCATTTGACTTGACACACGTAAGGATGGCAAACTGTGCTGCTTAATGTATGGCATTATAGGACCATCTGTTTTCACGCTTACAGCTCCTGCAAAATCTTCCTTACTCTGACAAGATGACCGTATTGTTTGTCTACAACGGCCCTCATATGCTGGAACCTAACAGATGGAATTTAAAGGCTTTCCAAAGGCGGCGGCGCAGGATCACATTCACCCAACCTTCTCAATAAAAGTGAAGGGCAAGAACTTGGGAGTTTTTTTGGTTAAATCCTGTTTATAAGTATGGCTCACCTGAATAAAAGGAGATTCATTAAGACTAAGATGGGTCATTTTTGGAAGCCTGCTGTTAAATGCAAAGGGTTGATGAACGGACACCATAGTAATGCCTTTCGTGGAACCTCACCTGATAGGAGAAATTAAGTCTTCAGTTTCTGTTGAACCTAAGTCCTTGGCCCTCTGACCACGAGTCAGTGGGTTCCCATGGCAAAAGGTACTTACTTAGTGTTCACATCACAGGTACCGGGGAAGGGGTTACCCGTCACAGGAAGTGTGCTTGACCTGGTAATTCTGAGCTTTAATTCCAGAGGAACTTTAATTACTCTCAGAGTCTAAAGCGGACTCTACAGCTCAAGTCATAGTTTCCTCCTAGTGTTATATTTAATTTTAAAAAAATGGATATGGAAATGTCTAGACTAATGTATAATAATAATTTATGACAGATCTATTCATTTCTTCCTATTAAAAAGGATTACCTTATCTCCACTAGGAACTGGGATTTTATGGGCCTTTGAAAAGATTTTACAAAACTTGCCACTGTAATTGTATTGGGATCTCTAGGGGAAAACATACTGGGCTTCAAAAATGGTAGCAGAACGTCTTTGAAATGATGCCACAAGGTGGCCACTAGATGATGCAAGGAGCAACCAAAAGATTGACAGAAAAGAAATCAAGTGATAAGGGTTTTTAAAGAATAACCCTGTAAAGCATGTGTGGGGTTTGTTTTGGGTTGTTTTTTTTTTTTTTTTTTTTTTTTTGGTGGTTGTTTTTTTATTTAAAGTCAAGTGTATTTTACATCTTCAATTTCTAAAAGCATTTTTATAATTATTTTTAGTAAGATTTTTTCTTAAGATTTCATATACTGGTTTCTACAGTTTATATTTGAAATTTCTCAGTGTTATGTCAAGAGTGAGGGAAGCATTGATTTGTTTTAAAACATGTTTCTAGAACCTAAGCTTTTAGGTCCTTCCTTAACAGTGTTGATCCTACCCCATTGTCTTAAAAAATCTAGTTTAAACTGTTTGAGCAGGAAAGAATTAGATGGGAGAATCATTTGTTTATCTCTGAGTTAATACTAATTAACATTGCCAAAACGAATTCTGTTCTTTTAAAAGATAAAGCTTGTGAGATAGTGGACTAATCCAAGAACATGTCTCTGAACAGCGAATTGGATCTGTGCCAGAAATGACAAAATTATTTTTTTTTTTGACTTGGTAGCTTCAGTAAATTGAAGAATTCACTTTGGCTTTTGTAGATTCATAAATAGCCATGGAGATTTATATTCTTAATAGGTCAAAAAATAATGAACCATAAGTCTATATGCTTGGACATTTTCTCTTTAAAAAGGTATTTTTTCCTTGAAAAAAATTTTAAAAGCGCCTTCTCCTCTTAGCCTAATGCATGTATTATGTAAACATTGAAAAACTTGGTAACCTATTAGTAAAAGGATGTCGTTACCAAATGTTGGTTGTTTAATACTTTGATTTCCACCGAAATATCTTTACTAATATGTGCTTACTGTCATTTGTTTGTTGTCTGAGTCAGTGCCAGTCATCTTATTTCTGTAAAATGATTATCAGTGTGAAACAAGAGCTTGATGATGAGGTGTGTTTGCAAAAAAAAAAAAAAAAAAAAAAAAAAGGTCAAGTACATTTCAGTTTGCATTTGCCAGTAATTACTCCATACCTTGTCTGTAAGCATTTTATATTTCTCTACTGGACAAATACTTAGTTTTACATTGGATTTTGAGCTGTAAAGGAAAAATTATGTATCATTTTAAGAAAATAAGCCTAACACATGATACTCTCAGCCACTTAAAACTTCATATATTTTCTGCAGAGGTTGATTTCTAGTTACATACAAATTGTAAAAACATCAAGTAAAAGTCTGATTTGATGAATAAAATATTTAAAGAGAAAATCTTCATTGATTTGCCTAAGGAGAGAGTCTCTATTCACAGATTTTTAGTGTTCAAAGTAAAAGTAAAGAATTTTTTGCTGCTTTCTGATTGTCTTTTGGACGTGTGCTTATTTTCTTTGGAGTATGAATCTTTAGTATGTGGAAAATGTAATTTTGTCCTGCTATAGTGTGTGTCTGTGTGTGTGTGTGTGTGTATCACTGGGGGAAAAAATCGCTGTGGGAAATGCTACTTTGTTGGTAATAAATGCATATTTTCATATTCTTTTGGTGTATGTTATTTTGAATGAGAACTGTTTTTACACTTTCAACCTTATTAAGAGTCATTCTGGTGTTCACACTTACTGAAAAACAAGTCTGTTCAGTGTGCCTTTGCTGGTCTGTCCATAGTCAAAAGCATAGAAGTTCTTGTCTGCCTGCAAGGGAATTAGTCTAATCGCAGCACTGAACACAATGAAAAATGTTTCAGCCATCTCAGGAAACCAAGGTATAACACAAGTGTAAACATTTTTAGATTGAAACGCTAGATTTGCTAAAAAAAAAAAAAAATTCACAGTAGTCTTTTTGTCTTCATACATTAAGCTGCTATCTTGACTCAGTTTCCTTATTGTGAAATGAGGATAATACTGCATTCACAGGGTTGTCAGAGGGAGCAGATGAGGTAAGGGGTCTCTAATGAGGACACCTGGCCTCTTAGTGTATGCTTTATAAATGTTTGCTCTTCGTTTTTCTCCAGCTTTATTGCAGTTTGTATTTAAATTTAAAAAAAAAATTATTTTTTAGAGGGAGGAGGAGCACCAGTGGAAGGGGTAGAGGGAGGGAGGAGGAGAGAAGAAGCCCAAGCAAACTGCACTGAGCACAGAGCCCAATGCGGGGCTCAGTCTCACGACCCTGAGATCACAACCTGAGCTGAAACCAAGGGTCGGACGCTTAACCGACGGTCACCCAAGCACTCCTTGTGTTTTAAGTCTTAAATGTAATATACTATGTATTTTATACATTAAGGTCTGAGAATTCCCAATTAAGAACAGTTAATGTGGGGCTGGCTGGGTGGCTCAGTGGGTTAAAGCCTCTGCCTTCGGCTCAGGTCATGATCTCAGGGTCCTGGGATCGAGTCCCGTATTGGGCTCTCTGCTAGGCAGGGAGCCTGCTTCCTCCTCCCTCCCTCTCTCTGCCTGCCTCTCTGTCTGCTTATGATATCTCTCTGTCAAATAAATAAAATCTAAGAGAAAAAAAAAGAGCAGTTAATGTGTTTTTATTCTGTTTTATGGATTGTGTCTGTTGTTCCAAGTACATAGACACCTCTTGGTTTTGAGTGAGCCTAAGTACAGATAAAATTGTCCCACCTGTTCATGACGTTTGAAGTTATTGGTATCGGTATCTTTAGAGTAGTTCATCTCTTTATAGTCACACCATATATTTTGGAAAACTTGTAATTAATTGCAAATTTGGAGGATTTGACTCTTGACAGTTCAGGCGTATTTTTTATTCCCAGTGGAAAATTGGGATTTCTGGGATTTTTGGTTGTTGAGATAGAACGAGTCACTCATTGCTCCAAAATAAGTTACTGGTGATTATTTGGGGTTAAACAAAGCTGGCTTTAAAAACAAACAAACAAACAAAAAAACCAGATCTTCCAAAGAGAACAAACAGGGCTGCGCTGTTCAGCTCCCTTCTAAGGGAATTTGGGGAAGCTGAGCTCTGGCTCGGTGTTGGCTGCTCTGGGGCAGCTCACAAAAAAGAAGGATGTTCTCCCGCCATAAATACCGCCTTACCTATCGGATCATCCAATAGTAAAGTTTAATTTCCTTTTGCCTCTCAAGAGCATGCTTCCACACGTGATTCATGTCCAGGCCCATGTGTTGAAATGACCCCTTGGCACCCTGTCCCTTCAGTCTCCTCTCTTACCATTCCTGCCAAATACTAAGGAGTGGGTTGAAACACCATTTCAGAGTAAAAGATTCAGGACAAAATTGTCCAATGAATGTTGTGATAGAATCATTTTAAATTCTTTTCATATTATTTTAAAAATCTTAATTTAGTCCCAGGGATCTCAGTGACATGTTGCATTCTTCGCTTTCCAAATATTTGGAAACAATCCCCCAAGTGGCTTAGATCATCCTCCTCTTTTCACTATCTTAAGTCATGAAAAGAAACCATTTATGTGATTTAGGCTAGCACTGCTAAGCCTGGTTATTTTGTAAACTAGAGGGAATAATAATTTGTTTTTAAGCTGTATTATACTTTCAAAGTGTTTCCACCCAGCAACCCTGTACTGTAGATTAATGGAAACTTAGCAGTGTTACAACTTTTTCCAGCTTTTACTGTCAGTAAATGGTAGAGGCGGGGCTGAAGGAACTTGTTTTTCCCAGAACACTGTTACTGCCTTTTTAATCCAGGTACCTTGCCTTTTGGACTGTTGGGAGCTATACCATAAACAGTTGCTGGTTATGAAATGTACTTGGTTACGGCTAAGTACTGCTCCAATATGCCCCTGAATTAGGGTACAAATTTTGCAGGAACAAAAACCTAGATAGATATAACTTATACAAGATAGACCTTTATTCCTAACAGAGCTCAGCAGTCTGGGATATCTCACCCAGTTCATATTTTGCTGCTTTTGCCTTTCTCAAGAAATGGTGGGTTCTTTCTCATGGGCAAAGACGGCTGTTCCAACTCTTGCCAACATTTGTATCCAAACAATGAAGAAGGGAGAAAGGGACAAGAGGAAGACATGGCAACCCCCCCACCACCTTAAGATCTTATTTGAGAGAGAATGAGATTGCTCAGCAGTGTGCTCGCACTCTGGCTGAGAGCCTGACTTGGGGCTTGAGCACAGGACCCTGATCTGAGCTGAAGGCATCCCCAACTGAGCTACCCAGGTGCCCCAACATGGCTCCTTCTTGAAAAAGGGTGGGGGAGGGTGACAAGAGAGGGAAAGCAAGTCTCCTCTCTGATACTCTCAAGTCTTGGCACATCCTTAGCTACTGGGAGCTATTAAAAACCTAATAGGCTCCTTGGACAAGTGCAAGTATCAGAGAGACAAGAGCTAGGGCAGCATTGAACAGGGTTTATCTTCTACACGAATTCACTTCAAAACTAGGAGAAGTGATTACTTCATCTACTG